TTGTCAGTCGGTTAAATCATCTCCTATTTTATTTTTCAAGATTTTTTCGTAATTATCTAATTGAATTTGAGTTTGGTTTTGCTTTTCAATAGCAGTATCTAATTGAGCCTGAGTTGGTCGTTGGCTTCAACCCTTTTCTCATTCTTGCTCAGTAATATTTAGGTCTGGTCTTTTTTCTAATTCAGGTATTCTAACTAATTCAGTTTCTCAATTAGCCGGCAAGTTAGCGGGTTTTAACTCAGCATTTTCATACTTGTTTTTTCAGTTATCTCGCTCACTTTCTAATTCTTCATAAACATTTTTGGCAGGTCGGTCTTTATAATCATTATTTCACTCGTCCAGAGTTATATTTGGTCGTAGGTCTCTTTCTTGAATCAAACTTTCAATTTGCTCTGACCAGTCCTGAGGAATAGATTGGTAAAAATTAATCAGACTAAATAAAGTTTGTCCAATCGGTAGATTAGTTGGTAAACTATTTAAATCAGTAGCAATTAGCCCCAAAACATTTTGTAAGTAATCTTGGTAAGAATTAACTTCTCTTTGGGAGTTGTTATATTTAATTTCTCATTGATGAACTTCTGATTCAGTTTGCTGGACTTTTTGTTCTCAACTTTCGGAACGAGTTTTAAACGCATCTCATTCTCTCTCCGCTTGCTGGCGAGCATTTCGTTCGTTGGTTAAATCTAGTTGCGTAGGACAAGCATTGAATTCCTGAGTAATATTTTTATTTTCCTTTACCAAGTCGGCGAATTCGGTTTCCAATTGAGTAGCATTTTTATCAGGAAAGATTTGGGTTCAACTTGCCAATTCTATTTTAGTCTTATTATGCTCTGCTTGCTCATTAAGAAATTTGGTTTGAAACTCTCTTTCCTCTTGCTGGCTTTGAATTAATTGGGGTTGAATACTGTTAAGATTATTAACTAAATTATTATATTCATCAACAGTAATGTTAGGGCGGCTATCTCTTTCGCTGGTTAAAGTTATTTTTTTCTTATTTAGACCTTGAATTTGGTCATTAGCAGCCGTTAGATTTCTTTTTGTTTCTTCCAGTTCAGCGTTGAGTTGTTTATTTTGCGTTTTTTCTTTGAAAAATTTTATTTTTAATTTTTTTTCATTACTATCTCTATTTTCCGCTTGATAAGCCACAACAGTAATATTAGGTCGCTGTTCTAATTCACTGATTTCATTTTTTA